GACCACCTACACCTGGGGTACTGGGGACCACTTACACCTGGGGTACTGGGGACCACCTACACCTGGGGTACTGGGGACCACCTACACATTTGGTACTGGGGACCACCTACACCTGGGGTACTGGGGACCACCTACACCTTGGGTACTGGGGACCACCTACACCTTGGGTACTGGGGACCACCTACACCTGGGGTACTGGGGACCACCTACACCTGCGGTACTGGGGGACCACCTACACATTGGGTACTGGGGACCACCTACACCTGGGGTACTGGGGACCACCTACACCTGGGGTACTGGGGACCACTTACACCTTGGGTACTGGGGACCACCTACACATTGGGTACTGGGGACCACCTACACATTGGGTACTGGGGACCACATACACCTGGGGTACTGGGGACCACCTACACCTGGGGTACTGGGGACCACCTACACCTGGGGTACTGGGGACCACCTACACCTGGGGTACTAGGGACCACCTACACCTGGGGTACTGGGGACCACCTACACCTGGGGTACTGGGGACCACCTACACCTGGGGTACTGGGGACCACCTACACCTGGGGTACTAGGGACCACCTACACCTGGGGTACTGGGGACCACCTACACCTGGGGTACTGGGGACCACCTACACCTGGGGTACTGGGGACCACCTACACCTGGGGTACTGGGGACCACCTACACCTTGACATGTATGATGAGAGTAGGAGGAGGAGGGTGTAGTGAGAGGGGTGTGGTGAGAGGAGGAGGGAGGAAGAAGGGTGTGGTGAGAGGGTGGGGTGTAGACGGGGTGGGGTGTGGGTGGGGGTGATAGGACAGGGGGGGGGCGGACGATCAATACACAAGCGCCATCACACCATCACCACCACCACCACTACCACCACCACCACCTCGCTGCTCCACCTCTACTCCGCTCTAATTCACTAATTTACTACTTGTGCCAAATTGTACCAGCGAGGTTCACCACTTTTCCTTCCCCACCACCACCAACACCACTACACCACCACCACCACCACCACTACACCACCACCACCACTACACCACCACCACTACACCACCATCATTACACCACCACCACCACTACACCACCACCACTACACCACCACCACTACACCACCACCACTACACCACCATCATTACACCACCACCACCACTACACCACCACCACTACACTACCACCACCACTACACCACCACCACTACACTACCACCACCACTACACCACCACCACACTCCGGTATCCTTACACTTAGTTCACACACCACTAAACCTACACCCTAATTCTCCTCCACTACACCCTACTTATCCTCCAATGCACCTTACCTATCCTCCACTACACCCTGATCCGCTACAGTCATATATACATTCACCTCGTTGTAACTCAATACATAATACACTACATTAGACTGTAATATAATACACTACACCACACTAATCCAATACACACCACACCGTAATCCAGTACACTCCACCCACTACACGAATACATTCCAATACTAAAAGAACACCTACATCCATTAGTTCAAGTCACCAGTATTTCATTACGTACACCTCCAGTACACCCTGGGGGTTCAAGTACACCCTGGGGGTACAAGTACACCCTGGGGGTACAAGTACACCCTGGGGGTACCAGTACACCCTGGGGTGCGAGTACACCCTGGGGTACGCGTACACCCTGGGGGTATACAGTACACCATGGGGTACGAGTACACCCTGGGGGTACCAGTACACCCTGAGGGTACGAGTACACCCTGGGGGTACCAGTACACCCTAAGGGTACAAGTACACCCTGGGGTACGAGTACACCCTGGGGTACGCGTACACCCTGGGGGTATACAGTACACCCTGGGGTACGAGTACACCCTGGGGGTACCAGTACACCTAGGGGGTACCAGTACACCCTGGGTACAAGTCCAATATATCATCAAGTGTTCCAGTACTCATATAGTAGTTACAGAGTTCAGCATACCTCAGCCCAGGAGGGCGAAAGTCAGTCAATATGGGACATTCTACAATATAATGTGATTGACCATGTCATGTATCATTTATACAATGTATGTGATGTAACTATATAACCTGAGCTTGTAAAAGCACCTTCATCACCTTCAGTGGTTAAGTGCTTAATTGCACACTAGTTTCTCTATCAGCTGTCTCACCCTGTCAGAGTAAAAGAGACAGAGGTACGTGTATGTGTGTGTATGTATGTATGTATGTATGTATGTATGTATGTATGTATGTATGTATGTATGTATGTATGTATGTATGTATGTATGTATATGTGTGTGTGTGTATGTATATGTATGTGTATAAAGTATATATGGAAGCTGATCAGAATTACATTTCACCTTTGTAAATGAGCATTAATGACACTATGTAAAAGACACATCTAACACTTTATGTAGGGCATACGTAAATCTGTGTATCTATGTATTTACGTATGTAGGTTAGCTTGGCATTTTAAAAGCACCGAATCACCTTCTGTGGTTGAGTGTTCAATAAACCCTTGAACTGTATGTTTAACACTTCTCTAACCCTGTCCATGGAGGACAGAAGAAAATGTATATATGCTGGTTAGCATTGTAAGTGTAGGGCCACGTCTGTGGTAGAAAATAATAATAAAAAGTACACCCTGGGCTATAAGTACACCTTAGGCTACCAGTACACCCTGGGCTATAAGTACACCCAGGGCTACCAGTACACCCTGGGCTACAAGTACACCCAGGGCTACCAGTACACCCAGGGCTACCAGTACACCCTGGGCTACCAGTACACCCAGGGCTACCAGTACACCCAGGGCTACCAGTACACCCAGGGCTACCAGTACACCCAGGGCTACCAGTACACCCAGGGCTTCCAGTACACCCTGGGCTACCAGTACACCCAGGGCTACCAGTACACCCAGGGCTACCAGTACACCCAGGGCTACCAGTACACCCAGGGCTACCAGTACACCCAGGGCTACCAGTACACCCTGGGCTACCAGTACACCCAGGGCTACCAGTACACCCAGGGCTACCAGTACACCCAGGGCTACCAGTACACCCAGGCCTACCAGTACACCCTGGGCTACCAGTACACCCTGGGCTACAAGTACACCCAGGGCTACCAGTACACCCTGGGCTACCAGTACACCCAGGGCTACCAGTACACCCAGGGCTACCAGTACACCCAGGCCTACCAGTACACCCTGGGCTACCAGTACACCCTGGGCTACAAGTACACCCAGGGCTACCAGTACACCCTGGGCTACCAGTACACCCAGGGCTACCAGTACACCCAGGGCTACCAGTACACCTAGGGCTACCAGTACACCCAGGCCTACCAGTACACCCTGGGCTACCAGTACACCCTGGGCTACAAGTACACCCAGGGCTACCAGTACACCCTGGGCTACCAGTACACCCAGGGCTACCAGTACACCCAGGGCTACCAGTACACCCAGGGCTACCAGTACACCCAGGCCTACCAGTACACCCTGGGCTACCAGTACACCCTGGGCTACAAGTACACCCAGGGCTACCAGTACACCCTGGGCTACCAGTACACCCAGGGCTACCAGTACACCCAGGGCTACCAGTACACCCAGGCCTACCAGTACACCCTGGGCTACCAGTACACCCTGGGCTACCAGTACACCCAGGGCTACCAGTACACCCAGGGCTACCAGTACACCCAGGGCTACCAGTACACCCAGGCCTACCAGTACACCCTGGGCTACCAGTACACCCTGGGCTACCAGTACACCCAGGGCTACCAGTACACCCAGGGCTACCAGTACACCCAGGGCTACCAGTACACCCAGGCCTACCAGTACACCCAGGGCTGCCAGTACACCCAGGCCTACCAGTACACCCAGGGCTACCAGTACACCCAGGGCTACCAGTACACCCAGGGCTACCAGTACACCCAGGGCTACCAGTACACCCAGGACTACCAGTACACCCTGGGCTACCATTACACTCTGGACTACCAGTACACCCAGGGCTACCAGTACACCCTGGGCTACCAGTACACCCTGGGCTATAAGTATACCCAAGGCTACCAGTACACCCAGGACTACCAGTACACCCAGGGCTACCAGTACACCCTGGGCTACCAGTACACCCTGGGCTATAAGTACACCCAGGGCTACCAGTACACCCAGGACTACCAGTACACCCAGGGCTACCAGTACACCCTGGGCTACCAGTACACCCTGGGCTATAAGTACACCCAAGGCTACCAGTACACCCAGGACTACCAGTACACCCAGGGTTACCAGTACACCCTGGGCTACCAGTACACCCTGGGCTATAAGTACACCCAGGGCTACCAGTACACCCAGGACTACCAGTACACCCAGGGCTACCAGTACACCCTGGGCTACCAGTACACCCTGGGCTATAAGTACACCCAGGGCTACCAGTACACCCAGGACTACCAGTACACCCAGGGCTACCAGTACACCCTGGGCTACCAGTACACCCTGGGCTATAAGTACACCCAAGGCTACCAGTACACCCAGGACTACCAGTACACCCAGGGCTACCAGTACACCCTGGGCTACCAGTACACCCTGGGCTATAAGTACACCCAGGGCTACCAGTACACCCAGGACTACCAGTACACCCAGGGCTACCAGTACACCCTGGGCTACCAGTACACCCTGGGCTATAAGTACACCCAAGGCTACCAGTACACCCAGGACTACCAGTACACCCAGGGCTACCAGTACACCCTGGGCTACCAGTACACCCTGGGCTATAAGTACACCCAGGGCTACCAGTACACCCAGGACTACCAGTACACCCAGGGCTACCAGTATACCCTGGGCTACCAGTACACCCTGGGCTATAAGTACACCCAAGGCTACCAGTACACCCAGGACTACCAGTACACCCAGGGCTACATTCTTCCACCCTAATTCAGCACTGTTCCACCCTAAATCAACATTGTATCAACATAATTCATCATTGTTTCATCCTTATTAAACATTGTTTCACCCTGATCTTCCTTAGTTCCAACTCCATCTACCACAGTTCCATCTTAGTCTACCACTGTTCCACCTTAATCTACCACAGTTCCATCTTAGTCTACCACTGTTCCACCTTAATCTACCACAGTTCCACCTTAGTCTACCACAGTTCCACCTTAATCTACCACTGTTCCACCTTAATCTACCACAGTTCCATCTTAGTCTACCACTGTTCCACCTTAATCTACCACAGTTCCACCTTAATCTACCACAGTTCCACCTCAATCTACCACAGTTCCACCTCAATCTACCACAGTTCCACCTTAATCTACCACAGTTCCACCTTAATCTACCACAGTTCCACCTTAATCTACCACAGTTCCACCTTAATCTACCACAGTTCCACCTTAATTTACCACAGTTCCACCTCAATCTACCACAGTTCCACCTTAATCTACCACAGTTCCACCTTAATCTACCACAGTTCCACCTTAATCTACCACAGTTCCACCTTAATCTACCACAGTTCCACCTTAATCTACCACAGTTCCACCTTAATCTACCACAGTTCCACCTTAATCTACCACAGTTCCACCTTAATCTACCACAGTTCCACCTTAATCTACCACAGTTCCACCTTAATCTACCACAGTTCCACCTTAATCTACCACAGTTCCACCTTAATCTACCACAGTTCCACCTTAATCTACCACAGTTCCACCTTAATCTACCACACTTCCACCTTAATCTACCACATTTCTAATCTGATCTACCAAATTCCACAATGAGCTACAACAGGAGCTCATTGTGGTAACTTCCACTTGAGCTGGAAGGTTACTTGAGCCCAGCTGCTGGAAGGTTACTTGAGCCCAGCTGCTGGAAGGTTACTTGAGCCCAGCTGGTGGAAGGTTACTTGAGCCCAGCTGCTGGAAGGTTACTTGAGCCCAGCTGCTGGAAGGTTACTTGAGCCCAGCTGCTGGAAGGTTACTTGAGCCCAGCTGGTGGAAGGTTACTTGAGCCCAGCTGCTGGAAGGTTACTTGAGCCCAGCTGCTGGAAGGTTACTTGAGCCCAGCTGCTGGAAGGTTACTTGAGCCCAGCTGGTGGAAGGTTACTTGAGCCCAGCTGGTGGAAGGTTACTTGAGCCCAGCTGCTGGAAGGTTACTTGAGCCCAGCTGCTGGAAGGTTACTTGAGCCCAGCTGCTGGAAGGTTACTTGAGCCCAGCTGCTGGAAGGTTACTTGAGCCCAGCTGGTGGAAGGTTACTTGAGCCCAGCTGGTGGAAGGTTACTTGAGCCCAGCTGCTGGAAGGTTACTTGAGCCCAGCTGGTGGAAGGTTACTTGAGCCCAGCTGCTGGAAGGTTACTTGAGCCCAGCTGCTGGAAGGTTACTTGAGCCCAGCTGCTGGAAGGTTACTTGAGCCCAGCTGGTGGAAGGTTACTTGAGCCCAGCTGGTGGAAGGTTACTTGAGCCCAGCTGGTGGAAGGTTACTTGAGCCCAGCTGGTGGAAGGTTACTTGAGCCCAGCTGGTGGAAGGTTACTTGAACCCAGCTGGTGGAAGGTTACTTGAACCCAGCTGGTGGAAGGTTACTTGAGCCCAGCTGGTGGAAGGTTACTTGAGCCCAGCTGGTGGAAGGTTACTTGAGCCCAGCTGCTGGAAGGTTACTTGAGCCCAGCTGGTGAAAGGTTACTTGAGCCCAGCTGCTGAAAGGTTACTTGAGCCCAGCTGCTGAAAGGTTACTTGAGCCCAGCTGCTGGAAGGTTACTTGAGCCCAGCTGAGGGGACCTGATCCCGACTTGTGATAGAGTAAGTGAGCCCAGCCGGTTGGGCTCACTTACTCCTCAAGATGGACATCCTTATGAAAGATGATGCTAATATTTACTCTGACCCCGTGAACCGTTCTCCTGATTTCCCACTCCGTTATCGACGTTTAATAAACGTCATCGACGTTACTGACGTTGATTCAACGGCGACATAACATACCGAGAATTCGTTTGGGTAAACAGTCTATGGACAATCAAACCCACATTTCAGATCGATTGTCAGGCGTCGCTGGTTATCTCATTAGACGCTAATCCTACCTTCTTACAGGTGATAGACATGGGGGGGGGGGAGGGGGCACCAGCCCCCTTAACTACCCTTAGGGGGGGAGACGACCCCCAAACTACCCCGAGGCACTGACTATACATTCACAATGCTCCAGGGAAAGCTATTTTGAGGGGCTTGCTTCATACGTCTGGCCTCCAAGCTTGTAGACAGACAGACACACAGACAGAAAGACTGACAGAAATTATTCTCTCTCGCTGATATTGATGTCTTTATCTTATGTCTAATATAAAAAATATTTTGTTAATAATGTCTGTCATACATGCTTGTTTAAGCTGTCCACTTGTCTATAGTTAAGAATGTATTTTGTAACAGGTTCTGGTATTCCCTCAGGTGAGTGTTGAGGCCCTGTACCACCACGGTGGCTGCTGAGTCAACCCAACGTCTTATAGGTAGGTGCTGACTCAACCCAACGTCTTATAGGTAGGTGCTGACTCAACCCAACATCTTATAGGTAGGTGCTGACTCAACCCAACATCTTATAGGTAGGTGCTGACTCAACCCAACATCTTATAGGTAGGTGCTGACTCAACCCAACATCTTATAGGTAGGTGCTGACTCAACCCAACGTCTTATAGGTAGGTGCTGAGTCAACCCAACGTCTTATAGGTAGGTGCTGACTCAACCCAACGTCTTATAGGTAGGTGCTGGGTCAACCCAATATGTCTTAGGTAGGTGCTGACTCAACCCAACATCTTATAGGTAGGTGCTGAGTCAACCCAACGTCTTATAGGTAGGTGCTGAGTCAACCCAACGTCTTATAGGTAGGTGCTGAGTCAACCCAACGTCTTATAGGTAGGTGCTGAGTCAACCCAACGTCTTATAGGTAGGTGCTGACTCAACCCAACATCTTATAGGTAGGTGCTGAGTCAACCCAACGTCTTATAGGTAGGTGCTGACTCAACCCAATATACCTCTTAGATAGGTACTAATTCTAATTAATGAAAAAATCGAATAATTGTAATTAACTCGACGAACATATTAAGTATTAATATCAATCAGCTCAGCCTTATTAATACAGAGATGTAAGAGAGGCTCTGTAGTTGCTCAGTCGTGTGACAGTGAAGAGGCAGCAAGAGGACACTGTACACACAGTGTACAGTGTGTGTACACTGTACCCACAGTGTACAGTGTCAGCATCTCCCATAATATGCCTCTGTACACTTCTACAATCGTAATAGAGGACAAATCCTGATGTGATTTGATTAAAATTGAATAGTTATTTATAATCCAAGTATTATATGTACAAATTATACAATTTTATAGATTTAAACAGAGGACGAATCCTCACGAGACTTAATTTATTATTTAAGGTTAAAATATATTTAATATAACACGTCAAAAAAATTATTTCCAACACCTGGAAGCTGTACACCAGTTGTGTTGAGATGAGAGGCGGGGGCCAAGAGCTGTGGCTCATCTCCACGTGAGTACACATAGGGGAGTACTAGGTGACTATATAGATGGGGTAAACATTGTGACGGGGTGAGATAGAGCTAAAACAACACACACTATTAACCTGGTACAGTAACTCCTGCCTCCAGTGACCGCTATCACGGCCACCAGTCACCAGCTATGAATACAACCACATACGGAACCTGTACATCTTTCCTCACCTTGGCTAGATGGAGAGGGGGGAGGGGGGGGGCGGTAGGCCTGTGATGTAGCACAGGTCAGGGTAAGCGGCCGTGTCGCTCTAGTGTAATTTACCAACGAATATCCCAAACAAGTGTAACCTGAGCCCACGACAGGCAGACTGTGAACATTACTGGCTAATATAAGGGTGAAATAGATTTTCTGTGGTTTATACAGGGCGTGTGTTGTGTGGTGTTGCGGGTGTTGGGAGTCCAGGCACACACACACTCTAGGTGGTCACCACACTACATGGTCACCACACTACGTGGTCACCATGCACCACACACCATGGTTGGCTGTGTCTATAACAGGGAGGAAATATTGGTGAGGTTATAGTAGGAAGAATAGGTTTTTTTGCAGGGATATTCCAGCGCGGGCCCTAAGCCTCTGGCTGGCCCACTAAGTGTTGCTTGTTTCTGTTTTACTTGGGCGGAGTATGAGTATTTATGACTCGTATGGTCGCTTCAGTAAGATTTTGCCATATGTGTTTAACAACTTCTTCTGCTCTGTTGAATCTAAGTTGAAATCTTCATGGGTTTGTAACTGTGCACTGTGTGACTAGTGGTTGATGGGGGTGTACGAGGAGGGGTAATACTGGTAGGAAGGGGAGCCACTGGTTGTTTGGTAAATACCAGGGACACCCAAGCCCCAGAATGTGTGAGTTACCAGCCCCCTGGGTACCAGCCCCCTGGGTACCAGCCCCCTGGGTACCAGCCCCCCCCCCAGTACCATAGAGGCCAGTATCAACTCACTGTTTATGTTCACTACCGCCACGAAATTGCCTGTTAAAAGATTACACAAATATTTACCTTGCTCTAGTGATATTATGTGTTGAAGGTTACGTCAATAATACTTGCTACGAGGGCCTGGTTTGTAAGTTCGGGGGGGGGGGGAGACCCGGGCATCACCGGGTGGTCCTCTATTCTAGAGAAAACAACGATTAATTATCAGATTTCAAACCCTGAAGTGTTCAGGGGGAGTCTGACAGCACTAGTATCTTCTCACACTTCACCACTCCGTAACAAATGCGACCGTTTTGCCTACCTAGCAGTAAAATAGGTACCTGGGTGTTAGTCAGCTGTCACGGGCTGCTTCCTGGGGGTGGAGGCCTGGTCGAGGACCGGGCCGCGGGGACACTAAAGCCCCGAAATCATCTCAAGATAACCTAGAAACGTACGGACCCAAGCAACCCACCTAAGTTATCAAGGCCGATATATAGAAAACGTCAATAATAAGGTGGTTTAATTTTTACACATAGATCACCTTTTATAACGAAATGTTCAGTGAGAGGAGGAAGTGGGCCGGGAGCCTGAGGACACACACACACACACACACACACACACACACACACACACACACACACACACACACACACACACACACACACACACACACACACACGCGCGCGCGCTCACATACACACACAAACACACACACACACACACACACACACACACACACACACACACACACACACACACACACACACACACACACACACACGCGCGCGCTCACATACACACACAAACACACACACACACACACACACACACACACACACACACACACACACACACACACACACACACACACACACACACACATCTAATAGGTGAGTACAAATTTAATAGGTGAGTACACACACGCACACACACACACACACACACACACACACACACACACACACACACACACACACACACACACACACATCTAATAGGTGAGTACAAATTTAATAGGTGAGTACACACACGCACACACACACACACACACACACACACACACACACACACACACACACACACACACACACACACACACACACACACACACACACACACACACATCTAATAGGTGAGTACAAATTTAATAGGTGAGTACACACACGCACACACACACACACACACACACACACACACACACACACACACACATCTAATAGGTGAGTACAAATTTAATAGGTGAGTACACACACGCACACACCATAAAGCCATAAAGTAGTGAAGAAAAACAGTTTAAATAGC